GAGTGAGTGTGAGAGTGTGTGTGTGTCTGTGAGCATGCACGGAGGCTCATCAAAAAGTGAAATGTATCCCAGAGGTCTACAAGAGGTCTATTGTCTGTTCTTTTATCATTAGCTGCAACAGACCAGGTTGCAAAGTTTGGTATCATTTATAGTCTGACACACACTGCAAATGACACCTGATTGAAAACTTCTCCATCATCCTATTTAATAGCTGGACCAACCATCCGTCATCCATCCACCCACCCACCCATCTATGCATTTAGTCACCTTCATCATCCATCTATCCACTCACCCCCCATCCGCCCACCCATCCATCCTTCCACTCATTCACATCCAACCCATTAATCCAGCTACCCACCCATCTGTCCCATCCATTCACTCATTTCCCATCCATCTATCCACCCACCTTTCCATCCATCTGTCCACCTATATATCCAGCCATCTGCTAAGAGTAAGTATCTTTTTGCGGAGCAAGTGGGAATAGAAAGGCCAGTTTTCAGAAGGAGGTCACACTGGAAGAAACTGATTGGAAACTCTGCTTTTATCTCCTTGTTTTTCTATTCTTTCTCTATGTACAGACTCTACTGTGTTCCCCTTGTTCCACTCAGCGGCCAAACATCCCACAAACATGGACAGAGCACTCGGCAAGTGACAGACGAGCCAGGCCCTGACACAGAACAGTGACTTAGATGGCACTGGTACCCAGAATCCCAATGGGTGTCAATTCACGTTTGCTTGTCAAGTGCACGGAGGTAAACGCTGAAAATGATGAGGAAACCCACTGTGTGGCTGGCAGGCCTGGGTCAGGCAGACAGATACATTCACACACCAACTCCTATTCCCTGCTGGTCCTGAAAGCCAGATGTGAAGTCTCTTATGTCCAAGTTAACGTATGCACCAGGATCCAAGCTTCCAGAGCCCCAACCCAGAGCATCAAGATGCACTGGGGCAGAAAGCAAGGCACTAGATGCATCCGAGAGGGGGTGAGATTAAGATGTGTCTGGCGAGACTGCCGAGGTGGGGCACGCGTCTAGTGCCTGGGAGACCTGAAGGCTCAGGAACTCTGCCCACCATGGAGCTGAGGTTGAACAACACAGGTCCCCAAACACAGGTGCCCTCTCCTGCTCCACAGGTAAACAGTACTTGACATAGTGGCCCTTTGGCTGGAGTCCCCACAAGAACAAGCAAGAAAGGGCTTCAGGGACGCACTTGAAATCTGAATTGGAAAGCATACTCAACAGCGTCTTAAGTCAATTTGGAAATCACTGTTCAGTGAGAGGAGACCTCTGACTTGTCCCTGTTTCCTGACAGATGCACTAAGGACACTCTTTTCTGGGGACAAGAAGACAGGCTGGCAGATGCCAAATTGCTTCTCCATCGGTAACTATGAAGAAGACTGTATGCATGACTGCTGGTGGGGTGTCGTCTGTGACACTGTTAGGACTGGGGATCTGTAGGAAGTGACGACCAGTTCAATCCCTTCCGGTAAAATGGACACCGTAAGGGTTCAACTAGCTGTGATGACAATGCCTCAGCCACAGATCCACCTTCCTCCAAAACTCTCCCAATGGAGCAGGAAGCATGTCCCTCCTAACACCGGCTTGTAGGAGCTGAAGAGTATCACAGGCATACATCTGGGACATGATCTTAATTATGTCAGTCTAAGAGTGAACTTTTGCTCATTCCCACATTCCATGCAGCTTCCGGAGACCTATTCTGTACCAAGACTCTGAGTAGTGCAAACAATGCACTTGGCTGCTAACCTACAGGTCAGAGGTTCACATCCACTAGAGGTATCTTGGAAGATGCCACTCCTGCTTCCAAGCTTGTTTTAATCGGGGAGCTCCACCCCACTCTCAATAAAGGGCTACACAACTCACAAACAACAGCCACCCTGTGTTGCTATTGTTGTTTAGATCACGGTTGTTCTGACTTGTTATTTGTAAGGTCAGTGATATGAAAGGCCAGTGGTTCAAATGTACCTACAAATGCCTCTGAAAACAAGCCTGGTTATCCGCTTCCGAAAGGTCCTGACCTTGCAAGCATCTTGGATGCATCAGAGGGTCGCCATGAGTTAGAAGTGACTGCACTGAGA